TAATTCAAGTGTTGTCACTTTGTCGTGTTCCATAAACGCTGAAAACGCTGCTCATTAATTTTCAAGTGTAACTTTTATTAGGTATTTAAATGCGTGCGAGCATCAGGCCAACGGCAACATGCCGCATCCCATAAATTCGACGGCCGAGTGCATCTTTTTATGCCACTTCACATATAGAGCACATACATATACCTCGATATCCAGTAAGTATATTAGGCATCCAGTATCCAGCCACATGTTGCAGCCACCCCAGCCAGCGTGTCGCACATACTTGAGATTGCATTAGTCGGTTTCGCACCACTCCCCTCTACTCGGGAAGAATATCAAATAGGGGGAAAAACACCACGGGGACCGGAGAGTGATCAATGCCTCCTCATCTGCCCGTTCACAACCCATTGCATTAATAATCCATAACGCCGAGATCATACAATAGAGATGGGAACGTGAGTTTCTATTGGAAATTGGAATAATTGGATATAAAATAACTATTAAATATATTAATTTTTAAACATAAATATTACTGAGTTATGCTACTTTAATGCTATACGATACTTATACAAACGACATATAAATTATTATGGAATCATTATTAAGAGGGATTAGACCCATTGTCTGCTTTCTAGTCAAATACTTATAATTCTGCAAAGTTATTGTCTAACAAATGTATCTATTTTACACTCAATTTTAAAAAATATCCATTTAACTTACCTCGAAAGAACCATGTGCATCTCTAGTTGCCACCCACGAAAAAGGCATCCAAACTATCCGAACTAATGTCGATAAATCAAGAGTGGCAGCTAGCATATAGGAGACACCTCCACTTCAAAACAGATCCCGATCCCTACTCCAGAAGTCGGGTGAAATATCGTCGCTGCTAATGCTGTTAATGAAACAACGTAATTATGTATTAGGAGGGGACATTTAGAGCACCCTACTTATGGAAACTCCGGGTCGCGGAGCACATTAATTATCCGCCGGAGAGCGGAAAAGTGAAAGTACCAGGGGTTGGGGTGAAAAAAATATAAAACCGTGAAACAAAAGCAAACAATCCCAAGACAAAGACAAATACAAATGTTTGGTGGTAAGTGATGTGCATATGACATTATGTATTAAAAGGATTTTGTGTGTTTTACATACTAACCACATATTCCAGAATCAAAGGGGCCGCCTTCTGTAGGGTGGGGAAGTAATAAATACATTTAAGACGAATCTGCTTATTGAATCATCCGCAAATTAAGCAAAACAGTTAGCTGAAAACAGCAGGCGCTGACCACGCCCCAAAATGAGGCAGAGGCGTTATGCTTGAACTCATCTGAACTCGAGCGAGAAGGCGACGAGTGGAGCATTCCGTCCGCGTTGGGGTCTCAGCCCCCGCGGCGTTTGTCGTTCGCTTAGATAACATTGTCATTAATCGTTCGCAATTAATTATCGGCTCTGGCCGGGGCTTTATTTTAAAGTAGTTATTATTATAACGAACTGTCAACACCTACTTATACATACAAGCCAACAAGTGAGGCCAGTGGAGCAGCCATTGAATAATACTCTCCTCAGTCTCAGTATCTGTGGGTTAGTGATGCCTTTTTAGCTGATTTTTAAGATATTTAAGTTAATTTTTTTTTAACTTTACCATTAAAATACTAAATATTATTTTTAAGAGATGTATAATCTATTTATAGTAATATCTATAAATATACAATATTCTTTATTATTTTTTTTTGTTTTTTTTTTTTTTAAATTATGATGTACTATGTGTAAATTTTTATATTCCTTTTTTGGAGTTTTTATCTCCTTAATATGTATCTATTTTATATATTACACTGCCAACACTGATACCCCTCTCCCATTTGGGTGGTCGGTCGTTTTGACTGACGGTGGCCCGCCTCGAAAAGCCAGAAAACCCGTTTGTCCCGCTCCTCGATCCCGGCATGTGTAAATGTATGTTAATTTGCCGATCGTTAAATACGAAAATTTGTTGATTTTATTGTCAGTCGGTTTTTGTCTGGCTTTTGTCTTTTGCATCTTTAATTGGTTAACCATATGGTTTCGATCTGATTTGTTAACGTTAACCTGTAACTTTGGTTTCACTTCTTGTGTGGGGTTGTTAAATTAGCGTTTTATCTGGCGGACATTAAGGCTTAATTGTGTGGTTTATCAGTGGCTATAGCTAGTTGTGAGGTTTTACATTTCATTCCACCAGTTAGTGCACTCTCTTTGTACGTGAAATGTTTTTATTTTGGTGAAAACTGCTTGCTGTTAAGATCCTTTCTATTGGCCATGTTCCCAAACTTTGTTGCAACAAAATATCGTCAGCTTGGCCAATACTCCCCCGACGCCAAAAAGAAACATTGGCACAATTGGAATTTAATGGAGTCAATTTGGTGTTTGGTGATGCATAAACTGGCCAAGAGCATCGCTTCGGTGCGAGCTGTGCTGGATGCAAAGAGTTCCTCCCGATGCTGCTGCTCCTGTTGCTCCTTCTGACCGTCTGCTGCTAACAATGCAGATCAAGAGATGAGCGCGTCCATTTCGGTCTGCGGATCGGCCATTGTTTCATTTGGCATGTTGTGGAGTTTTAGGAGTTCACTAAAAAGACAAATGTGGTGTGCGGATGCGGATGCGGGGGCCGTCAGCGGAAACTTTCGGTTAGCGATCCAGTAAGCCAAGTCAACAAGCCAGCAGCTAGCCAGTCAGCGCGTGTTAGTTCCACTCGTTAAGGATTTACGAGCAATTTTTATCACTTTGAGGATCGCTGACAAATCCGGCAACAACAACAACAACAATCACAACCACAACAGTATCTGGCAACAATGCAGTGCAATGCAACATGCGCATAATAATGGCAAGTTGTCCGCCATACACTCTCAGATATACATATATATATTGGAGTATGGAACATCCTACGTTCAGCTAGAGGACAGGAAGCTCGCCTGTCTCATCGTTGTCGCTGATGTGGCCAAAAGTGGCCAATAAAACCCAAGCGACGATGTCACCAACTGCAAATGCAACTGCAACATCCTTAGCAGAAGCCGAGGCAGAAGCTGCGGCAACGATGACGACGAATTATAGCAAAGTAATCGCAGTGGACTAAAGCCATTGTCCATTTTTATGATACTCTCAATGAAAATATATTTTAAATTTAATATAAAGTTTGTAACACTGAAAAATAATATATTTAATAGAAAGGAAATCATATTTATATTAATAGATATACAAAAATGGAATGTTATTAAAAATAAAATTTCAAAAAGAGTATTTAAATCAGAGTCTAAGCCCCTTCTGCTAATCCTCTTCCCTTACTTATTTATTTCACATCGTTTCCTTTTTTTACCTTTTGACCACTATTTCTTTGGCCAATATTGTTGGCGGCTTTTGGCGTTGATTTCCCTTCCAATTTATGTGACATATTGATTTTAAATTGATGATAGTCTATTTTGCGTTGGCCAGCCATCGGATGAGCGAACAAACCGAACGAAACCAATTTATTTTAGCCATTTTAAATTGGCATTTTTGCTGTGCGTTCGCAATGCACTGGTAGCTGTGTTGCTGTGGTCACAAACTGGGCCTATATGACTTCATCAGGCCATTGTCGGGGCAGACGAGTTGGCTGGGAATCGAATGCGAACGAGAACGCGGGTTCGTATTCGAGTCCTCTATCCCATTCATAGGTGCACATTTAAATGCAAATTTAATTCAATTAATGATGCATCAAATGCAGTCAATGCCTAATTGCCATGCGATGATCGTCGTCAATGGCTGTTCCCTGTCTACCATCTCCTTTACTTTTTTGGTTTTTGCCAACCGTTTTTCTATTGCTCATCCTGAAGGATTCGCAGGCAGCGGTGGAGGCAGCCACAGCCACAGCAGCTGTTGCAGCTTGACAATATTGATGATTTAGTAGTTGGTGCCGTTTTGTTGTCGTGCCTGTGGCACCATAGGCGTAATTAGACAAGCATTGTGCAAAAGCGTTAATTAAAAACCGCAAAAAGACACAGCAGCCACAGTGGCAGTTGCCATTTTTCCACCGACTATTGATTACCAGCTGCGTCAGCGCCATGACTCCACTCTGACACTCAGAAATAAAATATTTATGAAACTTTTTAAAAGTGATGCTTGAGTATTATGAGTAATGAGCATTTTTATAGGGTCCAAAAGGTGATTGTCCAATATTTTAGCTATTTAAAAAAATTAGTCAGTCCAATCTCAACCTTTTTTTTTAACTTTTTTTGAGGGGTAAAACTAGAGGTTACATTCTTCCAAAAATATTCTGCTTTACATTTTCTTTAAGTGCACTAGCTCTGTGTGTGCCTTCGTAATGAGCCCGAGCATAGATTGCGTAAGCTCTCCGCGGATGCATCTGCTCTATGTCCACATTTCCCAGTCCCCAGGTTCCCCAATCCCCAGGCTGCAAGTCCCCAGGCCCCATTAAAAACCCAACCACCAGCAGCAGGGGTTGGCGCTGCTGCAATCAGCTAATAATTTCCTTTTAAATGATCTCGCTTCGATGCTGCATGAATGGAGGCTTCATGCGTATTTATGAGCCCAACGATTCCCATTCCAATTCCGATTCCTTGCCCTGGGTCCGTCCCTGTCCTGTCCCTGTGTTGAGTGCTTAAGTTTTTGGATTGATTTTGACGCCAAGCGATAGTATTATGGCCAAATGAGTTGGTGACAAGGTCTCAAAAAGGCTTTAAAAATTTATTGAGAACGATAGCGAATATGATAAATTATGATATTCTTATGGATAATTTATTGCTATTTTCTTATAGCTTAGAAATATTTGAAAGCAAGAGTAATATATATAGAAATATAATAATATTTTAAAATTAGGCAAATTTGCTTACGATTTTTAGTAATAGAATTTTAAATTTTGTTAATGAATTTCCCAGTTTTCAAAAAAACACACATGACCCATAGAAATTTCGATATCTTTGCCAAATTTAGATGGAATTCCTTAGAGGAAAAGATTCACTTTTAGTTTAGTTTCTGGACTACGGATCTAGACTCCCTTTCTATAAACTACAAAATTATAAACGAAACAATCCGGCTCTGACAGAGCTATCAATCTATTCCCCGTAACAGTTGTTGATATACAAATTTTATAATTTTGAGAGTAAGTTGTTCCTGATAATTGAAACACTAAGAACTGTTTTTGTTTTTAGAGTCATGGCGCTCCTAAGGATGTCTAAGGATGCTACCAAGCTTCTCCTTGCCCGTAGCCAAGTCATGTCTTCCCAGTGGTTTCGGGAGCAGAAGACCCTGCCAGTTTATGATTTTGAGTGCCCCTTTCCGCCCAAATGGGGCTACTCCGCTTTTGGACGAGATCAGAAGACTTGGGGCGAATGGACTGTGGCAAGGTTGGACGATTTGTTGAACTGGGGGCGCAAGGGTTCGATTTGGCCCATGACCTTTGGTCTGGCTTGCTGTGCGGTGGAAATGATGCACATCGCCGCTCCCAGATACGACATGGATCGCTATGGTGTGGTTTTTCGCGCCTCTCCCCGTCAGGCGGATTGCATGATTGTGGCCGGAACACTGACCAATAAAATGGCTCCGGCTATGAGGAAGGTCTACGACCAAATGCCGGAACCAAGGTGGGTCATCTCAATGGGAAGTTGTGCCAACGGAGGGGGTTACTATCACTACTCCTACTCGGTTGTGCGTGGCTGTGATCGGATTGTTCCGGTGGATATATACGTTCCGGGCTGCCCACCCACAGCCGAAGCTCTCATGTATGGAGTATTGCAGCTGCAGAAGAAAATTAAGCGCATGAGGACACTCCAGATGTGGTACAGAAAATAAATGAATAACATTACTGTACCCAAAGTCAATAAAGTATTGAGGAAATAAAAAAACCCCTTTAATCTGTGTACCAGCACCAAATCGAATCATCCTATCCTACATAGCATAGTGGTTTTTCATGGTCCTGAGGAAAATCGTGATCATTGGCTCATCTGCTAATCCCAAAACAAAGTCAAAGAGTTAAGCGCATCAGTTCCAGGATATGCAGAGAATCCTCTTTTCTGACTGAAAAGTCGCTTAGTCAGCGGAGTAGGGCTCGTGCTCACCTGCACTTGAAGAGGATCGGTTATTGGTTTCAGTAACAGATACACGATCCTCAGAGGATGAAAGCGAGTCCTTCAGACAATGCCCAGAGACAATAAACACTTCTGGCGGCACTCAAGTATCGATGAAATATGAAGGGTTCTTGAAACATATGAAAGGATTTCGTTGTTTTGCTGCGGACAAAAACCGAAAATCCTTTTTGCGAATTTGCCGACTCGGGGCACTTGAACTTGATGGGAACATCATTAAATCCTCGCTCTCTCACTATTTTCGAGTGCGGCGAGTGCATTAAATTGCAGGACAACGGGTGCATTAGTGTAATCCATGTGCGACACACCCACAAAACTGGAAAATCTGAAGAATAAATCTGTGAATGGAGAGAGTCTCTGGGCGAGGCATGAATGAAGGACCTCATTCACTGAACTGAAAAAGAAAAGGACCTGCCCGACACTTGATGTCTGAAATGGGAAACAAAGGCGCAGCGTGATCCTCGAGTCGGGATCATGGGAATCCGAATTCAGGCAATTCCGTGACTCGGACAATTCCAGCGAATAAGAAAGGCTGTGGAAAAATTAACTTGTCTCAATCGCACAGCAATAAAAATTAATAACAAAGCCACTGGCAGCATGTTCGACTCCATTGTGCAGGCATTAAATAAATTTAACAGCTCAATGACTTGTCGAAAGGTGGAGAATCCGGGGATGCAGTGGAGTCGATGCAGTGAAGCGTACGAGTCCAGGCAACCATATCTTAATTAGCAGACCCCGGCCTACATTAACCTTAATTTTTGCTCTTTTTTATTTTGCCAATTTCTGGTTAATTGCGGCGCCGAGGCGCCAACGAAAAAGCTTCCAGGGTGCTTCCAGATTCATTCGAGTGTCCAGCGGCGCATGCTCAGGAATTGCAGTTGAGTGAAAATTTGTGGTACCAAGGATGAGGGCTTACGACCACCAAAGTGGGTCCTACCTGCAGATTTTCACCGACTGCATTCAGCGACTGTGACCCCCTTTTTTCAGTAGGTATGGGTTCATTTGGGCCGAGGGTTCGGGCAATGTTCCACGGGTCATAAATTACGTCAGACAATTTCCGAAATGCCCAACGAATTGTGTGTTTAACACCTAATCGCCCGTAATGCGCTCCGGCCGATTGTGAGGTCCTCCAAAAACTGACTCGCCGCCAAAAACTGGGTCCAACAATAAAAATCGAATAGCAGCATCTAGCTTCGGCCATTCATTGATTCATTCAGGCACTCATTCATTCATGGCCTCATAATGAAATTGTTGGATGTCTTCTAAGAGTTCTTATTTTTTTTGGCATTGTGCTCTGGCTGAAGATTTATGTTCATGAATGTAAATGCCTTCTTCAAATCTTTTTTATTGGCATTATGTGGAATTGATTTGTTGCCTCGTTGGGCTCTTTCATAAAATTATTATCACACTTTTCGGGAATCCAGGCGATCTGATCTGCCTTCTTTTGGGAGAGAATTATTAAGCTGATTTTAATTGCCTTCCTATGCGTTGGCTTCTTTGATCGGCTATCGTAAATCTAATTTAGTGTTCTCAAACACAAAATCTATGAAATACAAAACAAAATTTAGATGTTTTCTAATTATGCAACGAACGATGTCTTCTGAGTGCTGCGATCGGATGTTTTGTGTGTTGTTTTCGATCGGATTTGATTGAAATTTATCGCCAATGCATTGACTCACTCTGGTGGAGGTTGTTGCTTTTCTACGATCACTGATCTGTAATCTTCTCTAGGGCGTTGTCCATGATCTTTTGGGCTTTGAATTGTTTACATAAATATCTTGGCCCTGACTCAGCTCCGACTGCCAATTTTGGTCTAGAGTCGGGTCTAAAGCCGTTGTGGATACTTTACACAACCATAACGATCAACTTGTAGTGATCTGATCTTGTCGGTATGTGTCTCCCCGAGATCATTTGTTAAATAAAAGTGAAAATTTGTTATTTGTTGCACTGGGTGTTTGTCGGTGTTGCCAGCGATAGGAATCTTGATTTATATTATGAGTTTAGTTTGTATAAGATCAGCAATTCAGATGCAAACTCAAAACTTTTTCCCCAACGCTAGCAGGTTCAATGCCACAAATCAATAAAAAAACATTTGTTTATTTGTTTAAAAACTGACCTAAATAATTTCATTACTAATTTAGGTACACGATAATTTTTTAACGATTCCCAAGGCGAATTATAAATTAGTTTCAGGTTGTGTCTTGTGGGGACATCCAAGATACCCCATAGTCCGCATTTGGGCACTTCCGTAATGATCTTCCTGGCCGTGGCCAGCACTGTGTTGGCCCAAATTAGTCGCCAAGCTGCCAAAACGTTTAGTACGCTGCTCTCACCAGAGGATCTCTTCCCGCAAATTGTCCATTTGTCATGCAGACAATAACGTTGACATACATTCGGCCAGGTCCTTTGTTTTTGCAAGTGCCGGGCCCAGCTCCATCATCCTGCTGGTTATTTTTCGTGGGGGGACCGAGCTCGTTGCCCGCTGCAGCGTTGCGCAATAAAACAAGAGTCGCCAAGGAATTGAGGAGGAGAATCCATCATTAATAAGCCCTAAAGTGGCTGCCCGATGGCCGCTCCAGGCGGGCAATAAAAACAATGGCCAAAATGGGCAATGAGCGGCCAACGCACATCGCAGCAACATGTGCACTTGTTGCTCTTCTTGTTGCGTCCCATACACTGATAAAAACACTGAAAATTCCATTTAATTTTAACTATTCTAGAGAGGTTAGAGAATGTCTCAATTATAGTTATAACTAATATCAAATATTTTCTGTAAATAACATAAAATTTAATTATTTTTAGATTAATTCTCTTGCTGTACTTCAGTTACTGTTGCAGCTTGCAAACAAGTTGGCAGAAAAACGCTCCAACAGGAGCCCCGAAGGAGGCAAAAAAAAAAAGCAAACCGCTTTAGGCCATTTAAGGCAACGCAATTAATTATTTTTTAACTGTTTTGTCATTTCGGAATGCAACCAGCAGCCATCGTTGGCCATCGATTGGTCCTCGTCCTCCGATCTGGCTGCCTTTTGGCTTTTTGCCTTTTAGCCTTCCTGCTGCGGCCAAAAGGACTTTGACATGGCCGCAGTAGCTTGGCCGCAGCAGCTTTCGCTTGTTTGATCGCTTGATCGGTTGATCGATTGATTGCTGCCGTCTGGGGCAGCAACCTGCGACGTGCAACCTGCAATCGGACAAAAAACACAAACAATCATTGCGCCGAGATTGTAAAACGCGTCTGTAACAAGCCGTTGCGTTAATTTGCCGCTGCCGATTGGCTACCGAAATGCCAGCTGTCTGACGGAGAAATAGAAAGTTTTATTTTCTTTATTTGTGGCCGAAGAAACATGGCTAGACACACACATGCTAGGCATATAAAATATGCAAAATGTCAAATATATATAACAAATTAAACAACCAGTTGTCGGGGACCGAGCGACCCATGGCTGGGCTGGGCAATAAAAATTCATAAATATTTCAGTCAACCTCGAACAAGTTGTTGGCCGTCTGGTCGGGCTTATTTGCTTTGTCTGTTTTGATTATAAAAAGCATTCAGCTTTAATTTGTCAATTTCTTAATTGGCGTTTCGTACGTTCCACATCGCAATGCCCACCAGCCAGCCAGCCATCTCTTTCTGGCTGCCAAAAGCTTGTGCGATCGTTGATTTCGATTTTCTGTCGCCTTTTTTAAGTCTCCTCAGATACTCGAACTCACAGATACACCGAAGCACACACACACAGATACAAATATCTGCAAAAGCTACGCTGCTGCTCAGTGATAGAAGAATTTTAACAAGCTTCGGTGTTTTGGAATTTCGTACGTGAAGAATCCAAAAATGTTTTACGCAATTAAAGAATCTGATAAAATGTCTACAAGCGACGATCCACAGCCCCCATGCCCCATAAGATGGGCAAAAAAGCTGAGGCACATCCTCCGCATCCCCCACCCCCTTGATTTGGCCAACTTTCAGCGCATATCGATCACTTGTCCGTCGGTAAATATGACAAATTTCGAGGAACCACCATCGCCCCATGAAAAACTGAAGTAAAAAAGATCCCAGAGAAAATCAGAAGCGAATGCACATCAATATCGGCTGCGAGATTCGAGATGCGAGATGCGCGATCGTGTATCTGTATCTCTCAGACAGTGCCAGTGTTTTGTTGTGGCACAAACCAATTAAGCCGAGATTAATTGGCCATGTCAAGTGGCGTAATCGAGCGCGAACACAGGTTTGACATTTCATAATTATTTCAACTGCCTGACTTTGACTCTACCAATCTTGTCCCGTCGCTCATGATCGATCAATCTGTATCTGCTGCGTACTCTAGATGTATCTGTATACCCATACCACCATACCCATACCACACCGAATCTGTATCTGTTCGCCTCTAGAGATGCCTTATGATAGATACATACCTTCAGGAATGTTTTGTATAATTGTGTGTTTTGATATGTTGATTTCATGCGATAACCGCATGTGGCCATTTGGGATTATTAATATTTTTTGGTAATTATGTTGTCAGGTTGGTTTATAGGAATTTTAGTTTGGATGGAAAGGCCACGAGATTGTCGAGAGATAAACGGGTGTTTAGTTTTCATTAGTCTGCTTTAATATAATATAGTTTGTGTTATGAATAAATATGATTAGGAAGTATATTTAAAATATTTCTAGACTCTAGACAATCTCCTCTAAATACAAACCTATTTTCAAATTTTTGTTATTTTAACCTGTTGATCTTTCAACTCGACCATCTTAGAGA